AGGCACTTTGCTATGCTCTCCAGATGCAGCCATGACCTCTGATCCCAAGACGCCCACAGTCTAGTTGGAGATACAGGACATTGCATAAGCCAGCAAGTGAACGGGTGCTCAGGACTCCACCTGATATTTGTAGGCGGCACCTTCCAGGCTTCTTTGAATCCCAGATCACATTTTGTAAGCACAACGCCAAGCTGCTAAGCTACTTGGATCTCTCCTGGGAAAGATCTGTGGCCTCATTCCCACCATTTGCACATGGATTGAACATGCTCCACACTCCATCATTACCTCATAATGGATGGTTCTGCAGGAAAACCCACCACATCCAGTAAGTCATTGATCGCTTTAATGAGAAAAGCTACAACCAGAGTGGGAGCAATGGAAAACGCTTCGTCGGGCACAAGCATGCTGTGGCAACACAAACCCAGAGAAATATGAGGAAGGCTGTAAAACACAATGAATTGCTTCAAGGGCTAATATTCTCCTACTGGGTAAGTAGCACTTACAAAAAATGGCTGTAAAGATATTTAAATAGTAGATCACAGTTGAAAATAGATACACACATGTACATACATACACATCTGCACACACATATGCCTAGAGAGACAGTGGACCATTGTGATGGATTTGTGACTCCCAGCTACGCAGGGGTCAATGATGTTCCTTTTTATCAAGAGGAGTCTTTCATAAAAAAATTTTTTTAAAAGATGTTATTTGAGATAATAGCCAGGAGCCACGTCCTTTCCCCATAGTTCACTTGGGTGACAGAGACAATGTTAATGAGATCGTAGACCATCCCATCATGGGAACCTTCTCTCTTTAACCACTCTTGGAAGCCCTTCAAGCTGAACTGGTGGCTGTGCTACGCCTCTCAGAAAGGGGGCTCCTTTGGACACGGGAGAAGGGGCACTAACCGCAGAGCCAGGAAAGAAGACTCAAGCAGGAGACTAACCCAGGTTCACCACCCAGGCCTCCATCCACTAGCCCGTGAGACCTGACCTCTGGAGGCACACTGAGTCTATGAGCACTGATTGTTTCCCCTCTAAAACGGGGTGACGACAACCAGCGTCCTAACTCGCAGATGTGCTCCGACGATTAAGAGACATGGCAGTAAGAATGTGCCTTTTGCTGAACTAGACTCTCTTCTTCTCCCCACCAGGGAGCCCTGGTGGTGTAGTGGTTATGCGCTGGGCTACTCACCCTAAGGTCAGCAGTTTGAACCCACCAGCCACTCCTTGGAGGAAAGATGAAGAGTTCTGCCCCTGGGAAGATGGCAGCCTCAGAAACCCACAGGGGCAGATCTACCCTGTCCTAGAGGGTCGCTGTGAGTCAGAGTGAACGCACTAGCACCGAGTTTCGTTTGAGTTTGGTCCCCGCACCCCCACCCCGGCCCCAGCACGCAGCACAGCGAGGCGTTTACTCTAAGCGCCAAGCTGATTGTTGTCACCCTGTCCCTTTCTGTCACCCCAGAGGACGTGTGCAGCTGGCCATTTGAAGCCTGGCCAATGCGGGAGGGACCCTGGGGCCCTCCAGGAGTCTTTCAGGCTTGGCCCAGTGGCCTCCCTTCCTTGACTGGGGATCAGCGCTCCACGGAACCCCTTTTGGCTGCATTCTCAGCCCCTGTGTCTGATTGTCTACCTCTCTAAGGAACCCTGGTGGCATAGTGGTTATGTTTTAGGCTGCAGTTTGGGACCATAAGCTGATCCGAGGGAGAAAGAGACTGTCTACTCCTGAACGAGGGGCAGTTCTACCCTGTCCTTTAGGGTCACTGTGAGTCGGCATCAACCCCATGGCAGTGAGTCTGGTTTTAGTTTTGAGGGCCGCCAGGAGTTGGGATCAACTCAATGGCAGTGAGGAGTCTCCTCACCAGCAAGCCCAGCTCCAGAAGGACGCCCAATGAGTCAAGATTCATTCCCCTTATCGTGGCCCTAATTCTTAAATGTCGCCGAGACAGACCCTACCTACCGTTGCTGGGAAATCCCAGCCGCTAGAAGAGCTTCATCCCATTGGGCCGACATCTCCTCCCACTGGCCTTCGCTGCCTCTGAACTTGATCCCTCGCCCAGATCACCACAGACGCATTTCTCACATTGACCAAGACTGGATCCCTCCAGCAGCCCCCTCCCACACCTCGGGGAGAACCCCGGATTCCTCCAC